TCAAACAATTGCGTAAATAATCATACAAGCAGCTTATTAAAGCCATACAATAAAAACATACGTAAGGGTAAAGGCGTAATTTCAAATCTTTACTTAGTTTGAATTTATCTCGTCACTAAATGGGATCAACTCTCTAGCTTCCCCAGTGGAGTCGCCATCCGTCGCCGCTGTCCCTTTCGACGTCCGGAGGACGTCTCGAAACGTTTGTGCGAGCGGTCGCGAAAAGATGGTTTAGACTCGCGTTTTTGTTTTAAAAGGTTTTCGAAAAGGGGTTCTTATGGAGTCGCCACCAATGTTTTGACCATAAACATTGGAAAAGGAAAAAATGTTGATTTTAAGAAAAACCGCACTTGGCCATTATAACCGGAGTTGGGTAAGGGAGTTAGTTACGTGTGGGGAAGGTGTTAGCACCCCACAACGCCCTTTCGAGTTCCCTATGACAGATTAATTCATTTAAATAAAGACTACGAGAAATTACGCGATTACCCTATTTTATTACATAATATTAAATGGCTATCTACATGATTTCATTCTATGTTGCATGTATAAAATGATGAATAAAGCTAAATAAAGCAATAAAAGAGATATTAAAATAGCTATCTACATGATCCTATTCTACATGACATAATAAAGCTAAATAAAACAATAAAACAATAAATAAAACAATAAAAGAGAAGGGAATTGAAAAGAACCTCCGTAGCAAGCTTTATATTGAGAACCTCGAACCGTGAGGATGCGTTTTGGCAACCCCTCTCTCTACACAGCCTCTCCTCACCAATACAAGATCGACTCTACTAAAAATTTAAAGAAGAATCAAATGCCTAATATAATTCCTTAACCGATTGTTACCTATTTAAGGCAATCTGAAAGATCATTCGAGAGAGAGAGAGAAGTAGACAAGTGCTCTAAAGTGTTTCGTAGCTCTCTGGAGTGTCTCGTGGTGTGAAAAAGTGGCAAATGAGCCTCCTATTTATAGTTTTTCGCAGTCGGCGCACTTTGGGACGGCCGTCCGGGTGGGACGGCCGTCCGGACTGGGATGGCCGTCCCAAATGGCAAATTTACACAGGCCGGGACCCCCGGGAACCCCGGACGGCCGTCCTGGACCGGGATGGCCGTCCCAAATGCCACTTTTGCACCGACCGGGACCACTCGGGATCCGGACCGGCAGTCCCATTTGGGACGGCCGTCCCAAATGGCCAGGAAAGGTTGGGACGGCCGTCTCGACTTTGGGACGGCCGTCTCGACCTGTTTTGGCCAGCTTTCGTGTTCTGGGACCCCCGGGAAGCTTTCCTTTGTGTATTTGGACGTCGTTTGATGCCGATAAACGTCTGTTGAAGCTTTATCTTCATATAGGAAGTCTTCTTGGCCTTCATTAAGATGTCGGGCGAGTTTTGTCTTTGTATAAGAAGTCTCCTTTGTCTTTTATCGTGCAGACGCGCAATCTCTATGTTTGTTGCGGGAGGTTTCCTCGGTTTTCGGAAGCCGGATGAACTCCATCTTCGGGCGAAGTTCCTCTAACTTTTATTTTGAGAGGCCGGGCAAAATTAGGGGTCTACAACCCATGAAATAGGTCACCATCCTGGTGGGTGGTAGGCCCGGGACCGTGGAGGGGACCTCGGAGTAAGAGACGGAGGCTAGGAACTCCAGTACCACTTGCGGGTACACATGTGTAGGTGGTGGCTGCAGCAGGAAGCCCCACCCGATGCTATCTAGATGGGCCCGGACGTCGTCCTCCCATCCAAATTCAGCTAGGATGTTGAAATCCAGCTTGAGCATTGGATGCCATTGGTAGGTCCGGATATTCTCCAGGCAGGCCTGGTGTTGTGGCGACAGTTGAGAAGGGTCCTGGGGCGGTGGTGCCGCGGAACTACTGGCACCGGCAGTGTTCCTTCTCTTCCTGGAAGCGCTTCTGCTAAACATTCTGACCAGAGGGTGCTTGGGGGTGCAAGAGTTGAGAGAAAGGAGGTTCTGGGGGCAAGGGGAGTTGTGAGGAAGTCCCCAAGCGCGCCCCCTATATATAGGGAATTTTGCAAAATCGAGACCGCCGTCTGGGTGGGCGAGACGGCGGTCTCGTGTCTCCTCCAAGTTGAGACGGCGGTCTGGTCCATCGAGATGGCGGTCTCGACGTTCGGCTTAAACGAGACGGCGGTCTCGTTGAGCGAGACGGCGGTCTCGCCTTTTGCCTATGTCGAGACGGCAGTCTCGTTCTGTTGGGTAACCGAGACGGCGGTCCGGTTTGTCCAGACGGTGGTCTCGAATTACGGAAGAGAATTTTTATTTTTTGTATTTTTTATTGCTTTTTTTGTTATTTTTTGAAAGAGGTAATAGGACCTGGTCTAAAGACATTTTATGCATGCAATGTTTTTATGTTTTGATGTCCTATAATGCCTATTTTGATTAAGTTTTTGGAAGGATTTAACCAACGTGTCTTGTTGTGCCGAAAGCCTTCTGATTCGCTGTGTTTACTCTTGGCTATACCATGTCGAACTTCTTGTGACCGAAGGGTAATTTCTTTCTTCTTCTTCTTTCTTTTTTTGTTTTTTTTTTCTTTTGTAGAGCACTTTCGTCATGCAGTGTCCCTTTTTCCTTGCTTTAGGGATCTCAATCCTCTTGTTGACTATACGCCTCCATATTCCCAAATTAATTATTAGAATATTGTCGTGAGGGTCAAGAGAAAAGAAGTAAAGGGGGTAAAAATCAATGATTTGTGTTTTAGAGGGTTGATTTTTATTGATAAAAGGATTTGTAAGAATGGCTGGCTAAGGTTAAGCCTGGGTGTTTAGGTTTTGTCTAAGCAAACATTTTCCTTTCTTTTTGTATTTGCGCTCTTTGGTTTTATTTCCATTGCTTTTAAATGGCTAGCTGATTTCCCTAGATCGCCCTTTGGGTTTTCGAACTAGTATACTGTGTATTGGCCCTAACTTTTGTCTAGGTTCCTTCTTTTGTAAAATTTTGGAGAAATCCTAGCAGACCTTATTTGTAACCCTAACTTTTGCCTAGGCTACCCTTTATTGTTGTTCGGGTATCCTACCGGGTCGACCTATCTTTTGTGTAGCCCCCTTAGTGGGTTTCCTACCGGGTATTTTGCCCTTTTCTTTGGCCTTTGGCTTCTCTGGGCTTTTTCTCTCTCTTTTTTTGTGGATTTATTTTTGTTTTTTTCACAGTATTGGGGAAGCATGACTTTCTTTAAGGATGAGGTGAAGTCTTATTTTGATGTGCTTCTAATCAACTAACTTGATGGCAATAGCAATGGTAAACGTTAATCATTTGGATGCGCTTTTTTATTCTTCTTTCTTTTTTGTTTACTTAGACAGGGTTTTTTATGTGGTCTAGTCAGAAGTAGAAAGAAGAGAAGCAGATAGAAAGAATCATTCTTATTAATTAATGAGGGAATATGTGCCCTAAAATGCCCGGGGGTCGGGCTCGCCCCGGGGGATAATCTCTAACAATCATGGGGTTTACATCCCTTAAACAAAGAAAAAGATTTCCTAATGACTAGAGTGGCTCTTGACGCTTGCACCCCTCCACTTCGGAAAATTTGCTTGAGTGTGCGGAGGGGTGACTTCCCTTTTCTCCTTTCTGCTCGTCCCTTAGTAGGGTCATATCCTAGGCCATACTTGCAAGGATTGTCTTTGAATTCTGAGGGTTCCCTCATGCCTTGGGAATCTGCCCCCAGTCCTTGGCCAGGATGGTAGCCATGCCTCAACATCATGCGGGCTACCTTTGTGTTTCTGGGAAGTCACTCTATGCTGGCAATTTCGAGCGCTTGAAAAGATGTTTCAAGAGCCTCTTCAGCCGCATCCACATAAGGTTGGGTGGACGGTCCACTGATCAGGATATCGTCCTCAGCTTGGACCGTGACCAGTTTGTCGCCCACTATGAACTTGACTTTCTGGTGGAGCGTCGAAGGTACTGCCTTGGCGTCATGAAGCCAAGGCCTGCCGAGGAGACAACTGTATGCTGGAGTAATGTCCATTACATGGAAATCGACGTTGAAGGTAGTGGGTCCAACTTGGATTGGCAAATTGATCTCTCCCACTACTTCTCATTTTGATCCGTCGAAGGCTTGAACGATGGTGCTGCTTGGGCGCGTACGGGTTCCTTGGATAGTCAACTTATCCAGTGTGCACTTGGGCATCACGTTCAAGGATGACCCGTTATCCACAAGAACTTTGGCGATGAGGTATTCCTTGCATTTAACCGAGATATGCAAGGGCTTGTTGTGGTTTGACCCCTCTAGGGGGAGTTCTTCCTCTGTGAAGGTGAGGTGATCATTTGCCATGATGTGACCGACGATCCTCTCAACCTTTTCTTGGGATATTGTGTGAGGTACATGCGCCTCGCTCAAGACCTTCAGCAGGGCGTTCCGGTGCGGTTCCGAGCTCATTATCAAAGATAGCAACGTGATTTTTGCAGGTGTGCGATTGAGCTGGTCTATAATGGAATACTCACTTTGCCTTATGAACTAGAGTAATTCCTCTGTCTCCTCCTTGGATTCTTTATTTTCTTTTTCTTCTTCGGTCTTTTTATTTTTTTCTTTATTTTGGAGGACATTTTCCTGTGTGTCCTTGGGGGAGTAGATTCTTCCACTTCTAGTTGTGCCCCCAATGCCGGCTATGTTTGTTATTTCTTCTTTTATCGGTGAAAATTCCCCATATTTCCACAGTACAGCTTTATTTGATTCATAGGGGAAAGGACATGGCATAAATAGTCGCACTGGCGTCCTTGCCCCCTCTTCTTTATTCTTGAGGACCAACGGCCGAGGCTTATTTTTCTCTTGCGATGATTCGACCGTTGGGGTGAGCTTTATTAGGAGTGGCTTTCTCTCCATTCTTCTGAGTTGGAAGACGTGTTAGTTAATCCTTCCTTTTTATTATCTTATTTATTAAGTGTGAAGGAGGGGAAATTTAAAATATGCAAATGAATGCTCATGCATGAAAGTAGACAGTCATTGGAACAAAAAGAAATTTTATTTATTCAAAGAGAAGGTGTACATTCCCCTATTCTATACTGCGAAGCAACTTTTGGCAAAAGCGGAAAACTTTAAAGAAACCCACAGGAGGGTCTTGATTCCTCTGTAGTTCTCTCTCAGCTTCCCGGACATGACGGGCAAGTGCTTCGCTTTGTTTGCGGACTGCCTGGCTCATATCTTCACTGTACTGTTAAGCCTCTTTGATCTTCGCCTCTTGATGAATGACCAAGGCTTGTAGTTCATCGAGCTTTTCAACGGCTATGTCTTTCTCTTGAAGTACTTAGCTATACTGAGCTAGCCCTTCTTTTTCTTTGTGGCGTAGCTCAGAGAGACTTTTGGTGAGTCTCCTGTTGGCCTCTCGCTCTTGGCAGATGTCTAACCGAGCCTTGAGGAGCCCTTCCGACAACTCCTTGATCGTTTGAGCCTCCTTAGCTGATTCGGCCTCAAGGTGTGCTGTTTTGACGTTTATCTCCTGCAGTTGGCTATCCGAACTGGTTCTGGTAGTTTTGGATGTTCGAATAGCTTGTTCGTTAGCGTCAGCACATTGGTCCTTGAGGCGCTCTATTTCATGATCCTTTTTCTTGCCTTGCCTTCGCAGACCATCAATCGTGAGGATAAATTCTTGTTCTTTTTCTTCAAGGGCCCTCATCTGGGCTCCCATGATCTCTATCCTCTGGGTCAAGGCGTCAATTTGAGCCTGCAACCCTTCATTTCTGGCGCTCGTGGTAGGTGTGGAGGATGATTGGGCCACCCCTCTTCTATTCCTCCATGCCTCATAGTCACTGGTGACAGCCACCCGAGCTTTTCCTAGCTCTCTGTCTCCCATGTAGACTGGCCTCTCCCATGCTTTTCTTATGGCTAGTGAGTTGGCGATGGTGCATGGGTCTCCAAAGAAGCACAGTCCTCCGAGCTCCCCTCGGGAAATGGTAGTTTGAGTCCTCATGAGCTGCCTCATAGCTACTTTAGGTGAGTAGGCTATGCAGCCCCTGAGTCCGATCAAGGGTACACTCGGATAGTCCCCACATCTAATGACAACTAGGCCGGGTCGGAACCAAGGACAGACCCAGGATATACTGTTCACATCCTTGTGTTCCCACTCATCCCTCCATTCTGAGGTCAGACGACGCTGGAGGGGGATCTTGGAGAAACTTCTCAAAGGGTCGGGGAATATTCCCATGTGACTGGAGGCGTATAGGTGAGTGGCGCTCCACACAAATAATAATGAAGAGCAACAGCGGAGTATTTTGCCCTACTTCTGGTGATAGAATTCCACCGAGAGCAGGGTGTCAGCAAGAATAGCAGGCAGGGGACTCTTTGAATTCACGTCCCAGGCGAAGAAGGCGTCCATGACGGCCTGATCTATTGTGTCGAAATGGAAGGGGAACAAGACCGTTTCGAAAATTATGAGTGCCAGGGTTTTGTTGAAGGCAACCCACTCTGTCCTTTTAGCCAGGTAGGACAGGTGGTCTTCTAACATCGTTACTTTCCAACCCTGGGTGTTCCCATTCTTTATCAGGGTACTCTGGCGGAATGGCAACTGAATAAGGGCAGCGACTGGTGCTGCGGGAGTATATGCTTCATGGCGAACATGGACCCCGGCTGATTTGAGCCACCTCAACATGGTCTCATACTCCTCTAAGGTTGGTACCAAGTCGAACTGCGGGAATTTGAAACATCGCAGATTTGGATTCCAGTAATGGATTAGTGCCCTTAAGAATACCTGATCGAAACATATCTTTAGGAGGTCTAAAATCCGTCCGTAGGATTTTTCGAAGTCGGCGCGGACCTCCGATGGCATTATCGTGCTCAGTCGTTCCAACCTCTCAGTATGGAAACGAGGAATGTCCACCTTTTTTGTCTGTCTACTTGTCCCCTCCATTTCTAAAACAAGAATGCATGTTTGATGAAAATGATGTTTATTTGAATGTATGTGAGTGTTTATTTTCTATTTATCATGTTTTTCTATATGATGTTTGCGTATTTTTTATTTTGGAAGAATAAACTATCTATATGAATGTTTTATGAGTATAATATTTTTGGACCAGGTCTTATTTATGAACTTTGAAAAAAATGGGTTTTATTTTTATTTTTATTTGTTTATTTTATAGCCTTTTATCTCTTTTGTCGGAACTATGTGGCTACTTAGCTTACAAAGAACCTGAAACCAGGCTAGCTAAAAGGCAGACTATCCGAGATAAAATGTGGCTTTATGCGAAAGAATATTTAGCGTCCCTTATCTCTTCTGTCGGAACTGCGTGGCTACTTAGCTAACAAAGAACCTGAAACCAGGCTAGCTAAAAGGCAGACTGTCCGAGATAAGGGTGTTTATTTGTAAAGAATATTTTTTTGGTTTTTGTTTTGTTGTTTGTTTATGCTATGCAACATACAAATGCAACAATCAAATGCACACACAATTCGATCACCCTCGAACCAGCGAGATTTCATTTTTATCACGAGGTAGGGTTTTCCTGCAGAAAAGTGCATTGGCAAGGGTTGGTTCTAACTGTTCTCACCAGGCTAAGGCCCCCAAGGTGCCCCCATCATAGGGTCCCCACTCTCCAGCCGTCCGACCATGCTTAGCACTAAGGCCATAGTCAGTCTTATTGCCAAAAGAGGAAGGTTATCACCTTGAGTGGTGGTTTCCGATCACACTGGTGGGCACAAGGCCCTCACTACAGCGAACCGTACCTACCACCCACTCCCTATGGTTATCTCACTTGCCCCCGGGTATAGGGGGAACTGTTGTGTGCAAGGGATTGTGTACAGTTTATATTTCAAGCAATTTGCGCAAGTATAAACAAACAACAATTTATTAAAGCCTAACATTAAAACATGTTATAAATACAAGTTAAGGGCAAAAGTGTTATTTTCTTGGTTTATTTATTTTTAAGCCGGCCCATCATTAAATGGGATCAACTCTCGAGGCTTCCCTAGCGGAGTCGCCATCTGTCGCCGCCGTCTCAAAAAGAGAGAAGGTCGGTCAGAGCGATGCGATGGTTTTTTCGACCCTTTAGTTTTTCACGTTTTTTATAGGTGGTTACAACGCCTTTAGGTTGTCCGATAACCGGGCTAACCTAGGGGCGAGGTTTTCGAAAAGTGTCCTTGGGTTGTCCGATAACCGGGCTAACCCAAGGACTTATTTATTTTGGGTTCTGTGGAGTCGCCACCGATGTTTTTACTGGAAACATCGGAAAAGGGTTTTTAAAAGGCGTTGGTTTTCAAAAACCAACTTTGGTCATTAGAACCAGAGTTGGGTAAGGGAGTTAGTTACGCGGTAAAGGAAGTATTAGTTCCTTTACTACGCCCCTTTCGGGTTCACTATGATAGGCCAGCTTTTATTGTTAATAAATAAACCGGAAAAATACTCTTTTGCCCTTTTTATTGTGTGAAATTTAAAGTGATGACTACAAGGCCCTAATCTATTGCATAATTTAAATTAAAGCGGTAAAAAGTAGAGAGGGAGAAATTAAACCTCCGAAGCAAGCTTTGTTTTTATTTCTTTAAAAGAAATGGGTGCTTTTTGGCAGCCCTTCACTCTACAAGACGCCGGAAACTCTTCTGGACGCCGAAAAATGCTCTCAAAGACACTCAGAAACTCCGGAAATGCGTCGGAGGGATTCTAGAGAGAAGTTTTTAGAGAGAAGGCAAAGCAAGAAGCTTGTGGTGTGTGAAAATGAGGGGGGGAGGACCCCTATTTATAGGTTTTCGTGCTGTCAGGTGGCGAGACCGCCGTTCTCGTCTGACAGGGTCGAGACCGCTGTCTCGTCCAACGAGACTGCCGTCTCGACCTGTCAAACACGGTGAGACCGCCGTCTCGCCCTTCGCAGGTGGCGAGATGGTGGTCTGGGAAATCCAGTGGGCGGTCTCGTCCCAACAAAGCGAGAAAACTTATTTTTTCGTACAGAAACTCCCTCCTATCCTAGTATGGGGCCTAATAGTCTCTCCTAATGGCTTGTTAGGCTTCGTCCATCTTCAAATAGGAGGTCTTCTGGTCTTTATTTGGAGGCCGGGCAAGATTTGGGGTCTACAGTGTGGATTATAAGGATTTAAACTGTGCAATTCCAAATGATGATTTCCCCTTACCACACATTGATTTGTTGGTAGATCACACCGCCACAAACACACTCTATTCTTTCATGGATGGATATGCGGGGTACAACCAAATTAAGTTAGCTGTTAAAGATAGGAAAAAAACATCCTTTATCACACTGTGGGGGACATTTTGTTATAGAGTAATTCCTTTTAGGCTCAAGAATGTGGGGGCTACCTATCAAAGTGCCATGGTAACGTTATTCCACGATATAATCCACAAAGAAATTGAAGTGTACGTGGATGATATGATTACCAAGTCCAAGAATTAGATGGACCACATTCAATATTTGAGGAAGTTATTCAATTGACTTCGAAAGGATCAGCTTAAGCTAAACCCAGCTAAGTGTACTTTCGGAGTATGGTCAGGTAAACTTTTGGGGTTCATCGTTAGCAAAAAGTGAATCGAGTAGACCCCGATATAACAAAGGCAATTTTGGAAATTCCCCCACCAAAAATAGAAAAGGAAATCAGAGGGTTTTTGGGCCGAATAAACTACATAGCCAAGTTCATTGCACAACTAACAGACAAGTGTGCACCCATCTTCAAGCTGTTGCACAAGAATCAACCAATAGTTTGGAATGAAGAGTGCCAACAAGCCTTTGAAAAGATTAAAGTGTGCTTGACCAATCCACCAATATTGGTGCCGCCTGTTGAAGGAAAACCTCTGATCCTTTACCTATCAGTACTCGAAGAGTCTATGGGATGTGTGCTCGATCAACAAGATGAGACGGGAAAAAAGGAGCAAGCCATACATTATCTCAGTATGAAATTGTTAGACTATGAGACCCATTATACACCACTTGAAAAGACATGTTGTGCATTGGTGTGGGAAACTTAGCGTCTCTGACAATATATGGTTAGGCATACGACTTGGCTGGTTTCCAAAATGGACCCGAGCAAGTATCTATTCGAAAAACCCATCTTGACCGGAAGAATAGCTAGGTGGCAAGTGCTCCTTTCAGAGTTTGACATCGTTTATGTCACCCAGAAAGCTAACAAAGGTAGTCCTCTAGCATATTAACTAGCACACAGTTCAACAAATGAATATCAATCCCTACAAGACGACTTTTCGGATGAGCATATATGCATATTTAACATGAAGAACCCAAAGATGATGCATGAATCATGTTCTTCGATGGAGCCTCGAACATGCTTGGACACAGAATTGGAGCTGTTTTAATATATCTAGGTAACGACTAGGCTAAACTTCAATTGCACGAATAATATGGCCGAGTATGAAGCCTGTGCCTTGGGTATCCAAGCGGCTCTAGATCACGGGGTAACCAAACTCAAAGTATTCGGTGACTCATCCCTTGTTATCTACCAACTCAAGGGTGAATGGGAAATCAGAAATTCCAAATTGATCCCGTATCTAGAGTACATCCCTCGGGAAGACAAACCAGTTTGCAGACGCCCTCACTACTCTGTCATCCATGTTCGCCTTAGATCAAGAACATGAAAGGCCTATCATCCATATCAGACTGCATGACAAGAAGGCCTTTTGCATGGCAGTAGATAGCGAGGGAGATAGATCCCATTGGTATCATGACATCAGGCGATACCTTATGAAGGGCGAATATCCCGAGGGAATTAGTGACAATGACAAAAGGACCATTCGGAAGAGGGTCGTGGGGTTCATGCTAATAGGAGGAACCCTCTACAAGAAAAATTTTGATTCCACCCTGTTAAGGTGTGTGCACCGAGAAGAAGCTCAAACACTAATGAGAGAAGTCCATGAAAGAACCTTCTAGACTCATATGCCAGGGCATGTCATGGTAAAAAAATCCTTAGGATGGGATACTTTTGGTCCATGATGGAAGGTGATTATTATCAATACGCCAAAAGGTGTCACAAGTGCCAAGT